TGTTGAATGTGTGTGGGTGCTGTGTATGTCTGTGGGTGCTGTGTATGTCTGTGGGTGCTGTATGTGTGTTGGTGCTGTGTATGTCTGTGGGTGCTGTATGTGTGTGGGTGCTGTATGTTTGTGGGTGCTGTGTATGTCTGTGGGTGCTGTATGTGTGTTGGTGCTGTGTATGTCTGTGGGTGCTGTATGTGTGTGGGTGCTGTTTGTGGGCTGTGTGTGTGTGGGTGATTGTGGGGGGTGGAGGTGGGGGTACATTAATTGCTATCCCCCCTCCCTTCTTACCTTTTGTAGGGAGGGGGGATCGTGCTCCTGATTCCATCCCTGGTGGTCCAGTGGAGAGTGAACTCTAGCCCCTGTGGGGCTAGAGTTCACTCTAGCGAGATTTGAGCGTTGCCGTGGCAACGCTCATATCTCGCGAGAGGAACCCGCCGGAGCTGCCGGCAATAGCTCCGCCGGGTCCTCTCCTGCCTCCCTCCCTGCATGTGGGTCAGTGGGGAGGGAGGCTGAGAGCAGAGCCGGCGCTCGGATAGCGCCGGCTCTGCATGAGCCGACAGGGGAGATCCTGAGCTCTCCCCTGCCGGTCTCAATATACATAGGCGTGCCGCGGGGATTAGGGTGTGCCCAGGCACACCCCGTGCGCACGCCTATGTGTATGTGTCTGTGTGTGTCTCTGTATGTATGTGTGTCTCTGTATGTATGTGTCTGTATGGTACAGACACATACATACAGAGACACACACAGACACACACACACACACACACACACACATACATACATACATACAGACACATACATACAGACAGACACACAGACATACACATACATACAGACATACACATACAAAATGTTTAAGTCACCCTCCTGTTTCCTACCCTTTGCAGGAGGGTGACTTCCCTGGGGTCCAGTGTGGGCTCAGCCTGATAGGAGTCAGAGTTCCCACTCTGACTCCCTCCTCCTTCCTCCCGCACGGCTCTGTCAGATAGCTGGGAGGAGTGACGTGCAGTCACTTCCTCCCAGCTCTCTCTGAAATCATCACTGGGGGACTGGTTTTGCTGTTAAAGCGTCCAGTGCTGACCGGGCCCGCTGACAATCCATCTCCATCGGGTGGCCCTGAAAGCAAGCGCCACCCGATGGACCCCTTAGCATGCGGCCCAGACGGTTTGCTGCACGGGCCGGGGCCGCAAAAGATGGTGGCAGCTGGTACCCGGTCGCAGGGGTCTGCAGGGCGGCCGGGCCCCCTAGAGTGATGGGCCCGGTCGCAGCTGCGACCCCTGCAACCAGGGTGTGTACACCGCTGAGAAGGAGGCGTTGCAAGGCCAATAAAGTTCAGAAGCATTTGAGTTTAGAGCCAACAATAATAGGCAGCAGCGGTACTACCGCGGTTGCAGGTGTTGCAGCTGTGACCGGGCTCATCACTCCAGGGCCCCTGCGACCAGGTGAACTCTGGCTATGTAACGCAGCCCCGGCGGTTATACTGCACGGGCCGGGTCTGCGTTCAGGGGCACATTGGGTGGCCCATGCTGTTAGGGCCACCCAATGGCAATGAATTTCCAGGGGGCCCAGTCAGTGCTGGCCTTGTCACTTCCTCCCAGCAATCACAGAGAGCAGCATGGGAGGAAGAAGGAGGAAGAAAAGGAGCGAGTCAGAGTGGGAACTCTGACTCCCATCAGCCTGAGCCACTGGACCCCAGGGAAAGTCACCCTCCTGCACCTACAATGTAGGAAACAGGAGGGTGACTAAAATATTTTGCATGTGTGTGTGTTAGTGTATGCGTGTCTGTATGTATGTCTTTGTATGTGTGTCTGTATGTATGTGTCTCTATATGTGTGTATTTGAATGTATGTGTGTTTATGTGTGTCTGTATGTATGTATGTGTGTGTGTGTGTCTCAAAACGGGGTCTCCAGAGGTAATAGGGTATTTCTCCTTTCCAATAGAAGTTGGCTGGTACTCGAATAGTTGGTGATATATAAAAAAAGAGGATAGAAATACAAAATAGTGCTCTCTGAATGATACAGAACAAAATGATAAAAGATGGAGGTATACTCACAAGTGAAGAGCAAATGGAATATTGCTCAATATATGTAGGCGTAGGTGGTATGATCCCCACCAAGGATGTCACTCTTCGAGTCTTTCAGAGGGGATGTTGGAGAGAGTTGAAGGGAATTATATTTAAAAAAATAAAATAAAATAGAAAAAAAGGATAGGCTTAGAGGCTCCAATAGCATAAATGGGCTATCTTTATTGGAGATTTAAAAAATCAGTAACATAAAACAGCTTTAAAATCACTAACGTGTTTCTCCTGCAAAGAGGCTTTATCAAAGTGTCTATGTGTGTGCCTGCATGTGTATTTGTGTTAACTGTTTTGAAGTGGTTTAACAAAAACTGTTGTTGTCCTAGCACCTGAGGCCCAGACATACTGCATTTAGGCCAGCCTGAGAATTCATAGTCTCTCATTAATGTGGAATTCCTACTTCCTTATTAACTCTACTGCATAGAGATGACGAGATACCCATAGGTTTGACAAACTGCTTGAATTTCTCTTCAAAGAAACTAGAAGTGCTGAACCCAAATACACCACAGTACATTGTTGTCTTTACAATAATGAACAGTATGCCTTTATGGTGAAGAGCGATGTATTTAGCTGACACATGACTTGGGATTTAACAATCGCTTGTGTTAGAGTCTCTCTGACTAGAAGGGATTCCAATGACCCGTTTTCTCTCTCCATCTTCTTCAGATTGACGCAGGGTCTTGGGTAAGCATCTCGGATTTCCAGAGGTCCTGGGAACCCTCAGTGTATTTTGTTTATACATTGTAGCTGTGCGACAGCAATCTTAATGCAAATTGATTCATTGTTCCTCGAGAGATTGCTGGTGACATCTCGTCATATTTTACTGCTTAGTGAATAGGCCGGTGATAGCTTTATTTTTCCAGACAGATATTATTGCCCGAATGAGTTATAAATATGTATTTTTATTCACTTTATTGTACTCATGACAATCGAGGGTTACATTGTTTATTACATTTGTTATATAGACATTATAATAGTTCCTACAATATATATGGTCTCAGAAGCCAGGCCCTGTTCTATAAACATATAGATGAACATATATGGGAAACGAAAACTGCTTTAAAGAGATCCAGTCTCCTCCTGACTATGTTACCAATGGCAGCCCAAGAAAGCAGAACAATATTCTGGCCTTTCTTTAAGGTGTTAAAGATCTCCACCACACACAGTTCAGATTTCCAAAATCCCCATTCTGCTTTGATTATAGGAGTATTTAGCTCTGACATGTGTCAAATAATGTAATCCATCAGTAATTACTATGTACCAACACACAGGATGACTTATTATAAAGCAGATAAGGAGAGACAGAAAGAAAGTTTCCATACTTTGGCAACAGATAATACAGGAATGCATTCCTCCCAAGTGCCCCTATACAGGGCCAGCCTTAGACCTCCAGGCACCCTGTGCGAAAAATCTTAGTGTGTGTGTATAGGGGTGTAATGTTTGTATAGGGAATAGTCATACACAGTTAGTAACACACACAGTTACAGTCATACATACACTGGCTGATCGTCTCACACACACACACAAAGGCAGACAGTTACACACACACACAGTTGCAGTCACACACACAGTTACATTCACACACAGGCAAACAGCCACACACAGTTACATTCACACACAGACAGACAGTCACACACAATTACAGTCACACATACAGGCAGACCTTCACACACTTAGTTGCAGTCCGACACAAAGTTACAGTCAGTCACACACAGTTACATTCACACACAGGCAGATAGCCACACACACAGGCAGACATACAAACAGTTACAGTCACACACACGGCAGACAGTCTCACACACACACACACATGCAGTCAAACACATAGGCAGACAGTCACACACAGTTACAGTCAGACATACAGGCAGTCACACAAACAGGCAGTCACACATACACACATGCAGACAGACACACACAGGCATACAGTCACACACAGTTACAATCACACACAGTTTCAGTCACACATAGATACAGTCACACTCACAGGCTGACAGTCACACACACAGTCACAGTCACACACACACAGCTACAGTCTCACACCACTGTTACCGTCACACACACAGTTACAGTCACACACACAGTTACAGTCTCACACACACACAGCTACAGTCTCACACCACTGTTACCGTCACACACACAGTTACAGTCACACACACACAGCTACAGTCTCACACCACTGTTACCGTCACACACAGTTACAGTCACACACATTCATATACACATGCAGACAGTCACACACACAGACAGACAGTCACGCGCACACACACACACACACACAGGCAGACAGTCAAACAAATGGAAAGTTAACTCTTTCCATTATGGGCTGGAAGGGAGGAGAGTAGGCAGTTGCAGCTCCTGGAGTTGGTGGGGAAGCAGGGACTCCTTTCTGCTTCCACGTTTCTGTGCAGCACCGGCTTCTGGCGCACTTAGCTCTGCCCCCACTGCCATTTTAGCTCTTCCCCTGCTGAAGGTAAACCCCGCCCACACTGCCATGTGAGGTTTTTTGGGATAGTTCCAGGAGGAGAAAAATGAAATCCTCCACCAAGGTAGCAGGTGCACACACTTCCCATTCGGCCTTGTGTGAACTGTGTCGGCCGCATGGTGCCCCCTGCTGCCATGGCACCCTGTGCGGCGCACAGCTCGAACACTCCTAGGACCGGCCCTGTTTCTATTTATGAGAGATAGTCTCTATGATGGGCACAGATCCCTCTGTCCCTCTTTTCCATCCTAATGCCCCTCTTTTCTGAGAGCTCCACGTTGTTGGTTGTTGTTGTTCTTGTGATTTTGTTTTACATTTTAGCTACATAAATTATTAATACGATATCTAAAACTTCTCTGAACAGCCCCGCCCTTGGCCACACCCCCATTCACATCCCTAAAATTAAAGTGTCCCTGTTTTTCCATTTGAAATGAAGCATAAAACGCATCTGATTCACTCTGGTAAATGTGAAGCAGGTTCTACACAAAGCTCACTGAATTCCATTCTACATATCAGAGGTTTTAAATTAAAAGTAGAGACATGGATTGATGAGATCAGGTGAGACAGTGCAAAGGAAGCATTATACGTGTTTTGTAAGAGATACATATTATTAATGAGGGGATGGAGGGAGACGGTTAAGGTGACAAAAGAGTAATGTTTTGATGGGCAAGAGATATAGGGTGAAGAAGGTCAGGGGACAGCGAAACAAAATGAAACACAATGAGAATGGAGAGAATAAGAAAGAGGATGGATAGAGACAGAGATAGACAAATACATAGATAAATAAATGGGGTCAGAGCAGACAAAGAATACAATCAACGGGTTCTCCATTAAGACAAAAAGAAGAGATAAAATACATTGGATGTGTAGATGGTGGTGCTGATGGCACATAAATCAGGTTTTGATATCTGGAATAGTAAACAGACAGAGACAGACGTGAGACTGATTCACTGCTGGACGCACATTTAGTGATCTATGACTAAAGATCCCATAACTGGGAGAGGGTTTAATAATAAAGAAAATAAAAAGGTCCAATAAATTTTTTTCATTGTAAATATGTCCATAGAAACATAGAATGTGACGGCAGATAAGAACCATTCGGCCCATCTAGTCTGGCCAACTGTATATCATAGGTCAGCACTGAGTGATACACACTGTATATCACAGGTAAGCACTAAGTGATACACACTGTATATCATAGGACAGCACT